GGAGAAGGTCCTCCCACACTCCGGACATGGGAAGGGCTTCTTCCCAGTGTGCAGAAACAGGTGAGCTTTTAGGCTTCTTTTTAGGCGGAAACTTTTCTTACACTCCGGACATGGGAAGGGCTTCTCTCCCGTATGAACTGTGACGTGCTCAGTGAGTTTGGTCTTCTGGGTGAATTTCTTATCACATTGGTCACAAGAAAATAGCTTCTTCCTACTGTGTATCCTCTGGTGGGCCTTCATGGCAGCCTTCTGGGGAAAGCTTTTGCCGCACTCTGGACACTGGAATGGCTTCTCCCCAGTGTGAAGCCTCTTGTGCTCAGTGAGGTCCGAGTGGTGGCAGAAGCTCCGGCTGCACTCGGCGCAGGAGAATGGCTTTTCCTTGCTGTGGACCCTGAGCTGCTCCCTGAGCCTACACTGCTGAGGAAAGGTCTCTTTGCACTCAGCACTAGAGAGGTCCTTTTGCCCGTTGTGGACTCTGCTGTGACACGAGAGCTTAGAGGTCCGGGTAATGCTCTTGCCAGACTCCTGACAGGAAAATGGCCTCTCCCCTTTGTGCAAACACTGATGCTTCTTCAAAATGGCTTTATACCGGAAGGTCTTGTCACATTTGGGGCACTGGAAGGGCCGCTGCCCCATGTGCACGGCCTGGTGAGCGATCAGTCTGCACTTCACAAAGTAGCTCTTCTTACACTGACTGCACTGGAAACGCTTATTCTTACACGCGGCCGTCCGGGTCCGCATGCGTTCAGATTTCCTTCTGGATTTGTCCTTATACTGTGGACACTGAGAGGGCTGGCTCTTGGAGTGGTTCTTTTGATGCTTTATCAAGTCTCTCTTTAGGTGGAAGACTTTCCTACACACAAAGCAGGAATAAAATCTCAGCCCTGGTGGAATTTCCTGGTGACCTGGGGGACCCACCAGCTTAAGCCAAAGATTGTTCTTGTGTACACTGGACGCTGAGATGTAGAAGTTTTTATGCAGAATCTCTATTTCTTGGAAAGTTGGATGTTGTAAGGCAGCTCTTTGATCTGGTAAAATCTTATTTTGCTCCCCTGATGAGGTAGCACACGTGCCCTGCTTTTGGAGACCATTTAAATGGCATTCCTCCTCTTCTACCCTGCGAATTCCTTGGTCACCTGGAGAGAAAAAAAGACACCCCCCCCTTCATCAGTGGATTCTGCACTGTGGTGGGGTTCAAGGGCCATCTTCTCATCGCCAACAATGTGGGGAAAAGAATCCCACTGATCTCAATGACTTTTT